TCTTGGGTGTCTTTTGATTACCTTTTTGGACTGGTTTGGGACTCTTGGACTGGCTGGGGCCAACCCAGCAGCCCAGTCCCTACACCGCCTCTTCGGGCCCTCTTGGGAGCCTCGTGGGGCCCTCTTGGGGCCGTCTTGGAGGCATCTCGGGGTCCTCTTGTGCCGTCTGGGGGGCCCTCTTGGACTGTTTTTGAACCCTTCTGGAGCCTCTGGGGCCGTCTGGGGACGATCTTCGGGACCCCTTGGGCCGTCTGAGGCCCTTCTGGGCCCGAAAAGGCGAGAACCCAAATTATCCTGGCGAAGGACCCAGCCATATGCAGTTGTGGGTACAGCAATTGTGAATGTCTTCTTTGGTGAAGCTCCTTATGGGGTCACGAACCGCTGCATTGGGTGGGGGGAGCGCATGCGGACGGTCCCACTGGGGGCTTCGGTGGTGCTCCCTATGGGGCCCCGAAGCGCTGTACTGGGTGGGTGAGAATGCCAAATTGGGCGTCGGGGACGCATGCGGGCGGTCCCACTGGGGCTTCGGTGGAGCTCCCTTTGAGGCCACGTTCGGTGGAGCTCCCTATGGGGCCACGACACGTGTGAGGGTGTGCCCAAATGAAGGTGAAACCGCATGCGAACGCAGCCACTGGGACCTTCGGTCATGCTCCCTATGGGGCCACGAAGCGTGTGATGGGGTGTACCAAAATGGGTGATGATGATGGGAGGAGGGGGAGGAGGGGGAGGAAGGAGGAGTGAACGCGGGGCGCTGTCTCTTCAAAACGAGGACCCAACACCACAGGATGGTTGGGAAAACATTGAAAACCTTTGGCAGTTCTTGAACTCTTGGGCTGTCTCGGGGGCCCCTGCCCCCACACCCAAGCAGCTCAGTTCCCACACCGCCTCTTCAGGCCCCCTTGGGAGTCTCTTGGGAGCCTCATGGGGCCGTCTTGGAGCTCTCTTGCGGCCGTCTTGGAGCTCTCTGGGGCTGTTTTGGTGCCCTCTGGGGTCGTTTGGGAACCAAAGAAGCGAGCATGCTAACAATTCACGTTCTCCAAAAGGAATTTGAGCACGTTTGCCTCTTGGAGGTCCCCTTTGGGGGCCTTTTGGAGCGTCTTGGGGGCCTCCTGGGCGGTCTTGGGAAGCCAGAAGCCATCTTGGGCCCTCTTTGAGCGCTCTTGGGCTGTGTTCGGGCCCTCTTGGACGTCTCCGACGCCGTCTTGGGCGCTTTTGGGGCTATCTTGGACCATCTTGGACCATCTTGGAGGCATCTTAGGCGCTCTTGGAGCTAACTTGGGCCGAACATTGCCGAAATTAAGGCCATTAGACCTGCTTGGCACGGGGACGGAAAGCGCACTTACTTTCAGAGCGCACGGGATCGCTGGCTCGTCCGCTCTTACACCTCGCTTGTCCTATCTCAGCCTCGGAGAGTCGCGGAGCTTTCTTTGAGCGCGTTTCTTGTTTTGGAGGGGGCGGTCGGGTCGCGTTGCGTTTTCCGCGTTTGGGCTGCCAGCTTTCCAGAACCCCGCGTTGTCCTTGCGTGGACCGCTCGTTGTCCACGCGTTGCCGCCCGTCCCTGTGCCCTGACTGCAAGAACTTATTACGCCGCAGCTCTCTGTTGGGAGCTTTGGTCTTATCAGCTCGATTACGTCACCGCTCGCTCTTGGGAGCCGCGGTGCTAAGAGCCTTTGGGAGTATTATGGGCCTCTTGGGGGGCTCTTGCGGAGCCTCTTGGGTGCCTCTTGGGGACCTTTTGGGGCTTCTCGGGGGCCTCTTGGGGCCTCCTGGGAGCTTCTGGGTGGCGGGGGTGAAGGGACTAGGCTGCCTTTGGCCGTCTTTGGGCTCTCTTGGGGGCCTCTTGGGGCCTTCTTGGGGCTGTCCTGGGGCCGTCTTGGGCCGTCTTGGCGCCTCTTGGGTGGGCCGTCTTGGCGCCCTCTTGGGCCGTTTTTGGGCCCTCTTGGGCCTTCTTGGGGCGCTCTTGGGGGCCTCTTGGACAGTCTTGGGCGCCTCTTGGCCCGTCTTGGCGCCCTCTTGGGCTATTTTGGGGGCCTCTTGGGAACATCTTGGGCCGTCTTGGAGCGGTCTTGGGGGCCTCTTGGACCGTCTGCAACGCCATGACAGGCGAAAAGCCGTATATGCTAAAAATACACGTTTTCCTTCAGACAATCAATGATTTTGGCCTCGTGGGGCCCTCTTGGGACGCCTCGTGGGCGCCTCCTGGGGCGTCGTGGAGGCCTCTTGGGACGTCTTGGGGCCGCCCTGGGCGGTCTTGGGCTCTCTTGGAGCGCTCTTGGGCCGTCTTGGGCGCTTCTTGGGCCGTCTTGGGCCGTCTTGGGCGCCGTCTTGGCCGCTTCTTGGGCTGTCTTAGGCGCCTAAGACGGCCCAATAAGCGCCCAAGAAGCGTTTTCCGAAGATGTCTCGAGCGAAACGCTGGTTTTAAGCCCCGAAGGCCGTCCTACTCGATAAGAAACGAGGCGGGAGGGCAACTAGATCCGGGTCCGGTGATGCCAACCCCCTCGAACTCCCCCAAGTCCAATTTCTTCCGACTAACGGACCGCACGCTAACGCGCGCTTTCCGTCATCTGGGCCCACGACTGCCTACCCCCCACACCCCCATTGTTGTTTCTCCCGGCTACCGGATCGCGACGCTACGCGCACTTTCCGTCATCTGGGCTCCGGCTGCCTAACCCCCCACCCCACCCCTCGTTCATTCTCCCGACTAACGGATCGCGACGCTACGCTCGCTTTGTGTCCCCCCTTGTTCCTTCTCCCGACTAACGGATCGCGACGCTACGCGCACATTCCGTCATCTGGACCCACGGCTGTCTACCCCCCACCCTCCCCTTGATATTTCTTCCGACTAACGGATCGCGACGCTACGCGCGCTTTCCGTCATCTGGGCGTGCGGCTGCCTAACCCCCCACCCTTGCGAATTCTCCCGACTAACGGATCGCGACGCTACGCGCGCTTTCCGTCATCTGAGTGCGGGGCTTCCTACCCCCCACCCACACCCTCGTTATTTCTCCCGACTAGCGGATCGCGACGCTACGCGCGCTTTCCGTCATCTGGCGCCCGTCCTGCCTAACCCCCCACTCCTCCGTTGCTATTTCTCCCTGCTGACGGATCGCGACGCTATGCGCGCTTTCTGTCATCTGGCGCCCGTCCTGCCTAACCCCCCACCCCCCTTGTTATTTCTCCCTGCTGACGGATTGCGACGCTTCGCGCGTTTCCCCTAATCTTGGACTGGGGCTGCCTACCCCCCCCTTGTGAATTCTCCCGACTAACGGATGGCGACGCTTCGCGCGCTTTCCGTCGTCTGGGCCCGCGGCTGCCTACTCCCCCACCCCCCCTTGTTATTTCTCCCGACTATCGCGCGCTTTCCGTCATCCGCCGCCCCCTGTTGATTCATCACAGGGGTGCCTGGCGGGCTAGATGCTACAACTTTTGGTTTGGGTGTTTGTTGTTTTTCCAAAGAACTACCCCTGCCGCTTCGGCCCGTCCCGCTGGCCACCCAGAAAAAAACGCAAACGACCGCAAACGACCTCAACGTGCGACATTATCCAAGACGGCTCCAGATGGCTTCTCTAAGATGGTCACGTTGGCCCAAGATGGCCTGCAGGATGGCCCAAGAGGTTCAAATTGCCTCTCAATCCGCCAAAGAAGCCACTGTAACGGCCCAAGATGGCTCCAATATGCCTCCGACAAAGAAGCCTCCAAGATGGCCCAGGACGACCCAAAGACGGCCCAAGAGGCCTCCAAGACGCCCAAGATGGCCTCCAAGACGGCGCTGGAACACCCAAAGAAGGGACCCAAGACGGCCCAGAGAGGCCGCCAAGACGGCTTCCGACGACGTCAGACGGGCCAGGAGCCCACCAAGACGGCCAAAGATGGCTCCAAGGTGACCCGAGACGGTCCAAGAGGCCCCCAAGATGTCTCCCAGACGGCCGAAGAGGCCTCCCAGAGGGCCTCACAGAGGGCCTCCAGGAAGGCCCGAAGAGGCCGAAATCACTTGTGTTCCTCAAAAGGTGTTTGAAGGATGTTGGCATATTCTTCTTTTCAGCCATTCGACGGTCCGAGACGGCCCACGAAAGGATCGCCCCAATATCGCCCAAGAGGGCTCCAAGATGGCCCCTGAACGGCCCAAGAGGCCTCCAAGACAGCTCCAAGAGGGCCCAACGACGGCCCCAAAAGGCATCCAAGACGCCCAATATGGCCTCCAAGACGGCCCTGAAGCACCCCAAGAGGGCCCCAAGTCGGCCGAGAGAGGCGCCCAAGACGGCTGCCGACGGCGTCAGACGGGCCACGAATGCCCTAAGACGGCCAAAGAGGCCTCCGAGAAGCCCCCAAAGGGCCCCAGCAGGCCCAAGGAGGCCCCCAAGATGCCTGCAAGAGGCCCCCAGGAAGCTCCCAGGAGGCCCTGCGAGTGCCCCCAGACCCAGATCCCAAGATACCTCCTCCTCCTCCTCCTCCTCCTGATCTTCCCCGCCATCTTTTCCCATCCTCCCCCAAGTGTTCCCCGAAGGGTTTCCACAACGGCTGGGAGAACATATGGTCCGATAGCTTGGCAGAGATCTTGCCACAACGCTCGGCCACATGGGCGATTCCAAAAGGCAGGGTGCGGCGGTGATTCGCCGTAGGCGTCTTCGATAAAAAGTTGCTCCACCCACACCACCCTGACCCCCCTCTAGCGCGCCACCGACGGTGGAACGGGGCAGCGGATGGCTGCGTCCGCAGGCAAGCTGGACAACTACCGTGCGTGTGGAAAGAAAACAAGTGAGGGGGACCAATTAAGCGAGAGCACAGTCGGCCGAGGGGTCATCAGGACGCTCCAGCAGCACAGCGCGAGGACGAGGAGGGCTGGAAACCGTGATCCGAAATTACACGGCCGCATTTTATAGGCAGGAGACAGATGATCTTCCAGACCCCGACGACGTCGGCGGTTTCTTCAAGGTCTGGAAGTACGTCCGTCTGCTACCTGTGGAACTGGCAGCGGGACGTCACGCCCTGAGAGCAGGATCCTTCAGAAAGTCGTTGCACATGTTGTGACCACCCTTCTGCTCGAACGTTCCCTCCTCCATCTCCCGGAGCTTCACCGACAGCAGCGCCGGAGGTGACCGGGCGTCCTGCTCTCCACCCAGGAGCCCCCGCTCTCCCCTGACACTGCCGGCCGCTAGAGGCTGGAATATTCACTGGCATCGCCCAATCGCCTGTCCCCGACGCTGCCGACAGCACCTTCCTCCTCCCCTCCTTCAAGCCATTCTGCCTCTGCATGCCTCAGGCACCCCGCGTTGCCGAGCTCCGATGGCATGGCATCGATCGTGCCCGTCGGGCGTTCTCTGCCACTCGCGGGCGCGGGGGAGCAGGAGCGGAGCGCAGAGCGCAGCTCTCAGAGCTGGAACGAAGCTCTCAGTCTGCTGTCTGCCTCTGTGGCTGCAAGATCTGTCTCAAAAACCTTGCCTCTGAATTGACAGCCGCGGGCCGCGCGTGGGACCCAGGAGCCCGATCCGATCATGATCGGGAAGAAAAGCCTGGGGCCAACCACGGTCTGCACGCGCAATCCTGGAATCCGGGAACAAAAGCCGGCGACCTGGGTAGCCATCCGCTGGCTGTGCGCGGGATCCTGGACCTGGGGTTTAAGCAGATGGGAAACGTACGCTTTCATGAAACCACCCTCATGCTTTCCGACTGATGCACGGGACAAAAACAACTGGAGCCGGCTAGGCAGGATGCCCCGCGGGTGAGAAACCTCGGAGCGCTAGTCCCGCCTCCTGCCCGCAGTTTCGACACACACACACACACACACACACACGCGAGAAAAACGTGTTCGACCATGGTTCCTCTTTTGACCCGTCGGCCTGAGGAAGTTTCGTTGGCCCTTGGCGCTCTCCGCGCGGACTTCCCCTCTCAAACAAGTGCAATGATCCAACGAGAGGACGGCACGACCCAAGCAGGACCTGCCCCGCGCTTCCGTTCCGAGCAAGCTGGCGTCGCGCGGAAAGGGGCGGCGCGCCGCACCTTCTAAGAGGGCAAAGGGGTTGGGAAAAGGGCCTGGAGGCCTCCAGGAAGGCTTCTCATAAGAATCAAGGCTGGATGATTTCTAATCAGCTCCCCGCCGTCTTAGAAGGTCGCCTCCCTCGCCTCGCCCCCGGCAACCATCTGCTCAAAAGTGTGCCCGAGACCCCATCCAAGGGTCATCCTGGCAGGTTGTCCGAGCTGCGTGCACCACCAAAAAAACGAAACGGATAGTCCGTTTCGTTTCGTAGGCGTCTTGCTGCAGGTGGCACCAGGCCGAAATACCGCTAAGCTGAACCTATCACAAGCGGCAGCCGAAAAAAACAACTATTGAAGGTCGTCGCCACTCAAATCACGGTTTCAACCCATCCGTCCAGGAGTTGTTTTTGGCAGGGCTGGGTGAGCAAGTCAAGACCATAAAATTGAAAAACAAAACTCGTTACCAACGCCAGATACCGACAGCTCTGCGGTGCAGGACCCCTGCCAGCGCTCCATGGAACTCATCCATGCGCGGCGCGGCCCTTACAACGTATCACATGATAGGCAATCCTAACCGTAGAAACAAGGACGAGCTGCTGGAGGTGCCAAGCCCACGAATGAGATCATCGTTGGCAAGCCTGGGGCCAGGTCTCGATTTCAGAACGAAGCGAAATCCGGACATAACGGACATGGCGGATGCAAAAAAAAATCGGCGGTTGTCTCCCGACGTGGTGGTTGAATGTTCCTACGCAGCATAAGTTTGAAATGGGTTGAGAGGCCCAACCAGCAGCTTCGCCTAAGGCGAAGCGCATATCCAACCCCGCTGTACCGTAGTAGCGATAGTTCCAAATGTAGGAGATCGTCGCGGGAACGACGGGCCATCTCAAGCGAATATGTTTTCGGTCTCGATGGCAAGTAGTGTGCCCCGCGATGGGGCGCAGTCACATCTTGGCGGCTGGCCGCTTGAACACAAACGGCCGCGGAGAAACGCTCGCTATCTCTCGCCTTTGCCCCACCTCCTTTTTAGACTCGGGGGGGGGAGGAGACGAAGCGTGAGTCCGCCGCCAGCTATACAGTAAGCGCGGCGTGCGCAAGGAAGGCAGCAAAAGGCAGCTTCAAAAAGGAAAGTGACCCGCGCGCAAGTGCCCTTGCACGCAAGTTACCTTGCGAACAGATCGCTCTGCAAGCGAGCACTCCTCAGGCAGCTTCAGGCGACGTTGTCTGGCCAGCCCGGTATGGAGTATGACGTTTTGGGTCGCGCTTGAGGGATTGCGTTCCCCCCGTGACCTGTAAGAGCATATCTCTGTCAATGCTCCCTTTGGTGTGACCGTCCGCGGTCATATCGCGAATGTCACACCACTGTATACTATGCACGATACCTCGCTCCATCATCTGTCGTATCCAACTGATGCGCCCCAAAAGAATACACCCGGTCGTATTCTTCAGGTCCTTGCGCGACAAGGACTTGAAGACACATTCAGCATCTATGGTCAAAGTGGCCTCAATGCCCAGGCCGCCCATCTCCAATACATCCTTCAACTAATGTGTGCCAGCGGCCCTGCGTGGAGTTCGTGCAGAATGACGATCGTGGGATAGCAGTCCTCCAAGTTTTGGGCTGCTGCTAGTGTTTCTGCTGGGCAGCTCGAGCGGACCTGCAAGCGGCGAGACTTGCAGTGCGCATCGATAAGATGGACGACAGGCGCACCGACAGGCGTGTTTCCACGCCGTAGCAGTTTTGCCCCGCAAATACCATAGCCTTTGACCTCATTATCAGCGTCTCCACTCAGACGTCGATAGCCGGAGTCGCTGCGCAGGTCGACCTCGCCCGTTGGAGTCATTGATCGGAAGAGGATCTTCTTAGAGCAGGCCTGCTGCTTCCTAGTGATCGCGCTCAGTCGTCGCGCCTGTATGCTGGTTGGTTCCTGCGTACGTTGTAGGGAAACAACATAGACCATCAACCGCGCCAGGGTGATTCAAGCGTGACCCAACGCGCCTCTGAGGCTGACAGACATGTCAGTGACCACCGTTGATGCCTTGGCGTCAGCGTCTGCGCCGGTGAATTCAGGATGTTGTATAGGGCGGAGCTGTTTGATGTATTCATCTTGACCAAGAGCAATGTTACCGCCCCCATCCTTGGCATACCTCACAACGCAATTTGTACATGTATGTTTGCTGAGTTTACCTGTGCCAAAAATATCCTCAGCACACTTGACGCACCTGCCGATGGTGTCCTCAGTGCTGGCCATATTGCTGTCATCGACATGCTTGGCTGTGAGAAGGTTGTTGCTTGCCTCGAAGTCCTCGTCGTAGGACGTGGGTATGAGACCAAACCCCCGCGTGGTCTTGCTGAGTTTCAGTGAGAAGGCTCTGGGTGCATCCTTGGTGCCGGCGCCTGGCTTGAGGCACTGTAAGCAGTGCTTCTACTCCTCGTAATGCTCGAATGCTGGGATGGATCGAAGCGCCGATGCTGATCCAGGTTGTAGTGTAAAACGCACAGCACGTTCCTGATAGGTGAGTCCCTTCAGGACAGCCATATTGATGTCAAGGGAAGCAATGATCCATTGCTTCTTGCACGCTGCCGCGCTTGCGAATAGTCTCTGACTCGACCGCCGCGTCGTCCATGAGAAGGTTTCCACATCGAAGGCTTCAAGGTCCGTGAAACCCCGAAGTACCAGGCGTAGTCTGATGGTCCGTTCCATATAGCCCTTTCGTTCTTTGCGAACTTCCACTTCTATACGTATCTCGAAGTCATGATGTTTGACGCCTTCTATAGAGCCAGCATACTGAAACCTTCGCCGTCAAAACAAGCCTTGAATTCAATAAAAAAAGGCTTTTGATACCTTGACTGGATTCGTCTGAGCGGCGGCCTTCGCGAGGAGATCGTCTTCCTTGACGACCGCAGGTCGTTTTGCGGCAGCGGTCACATATACTCGCATGGTGGTCGCGCGGTCGAAGTCTAATATCATATGTTGTTGCTCGGGTAGGACTACCTTCGACAAATCTGCAGTGAAGCAGAATTCGATATATTGACACTTGTCGTCCGAAGCCAATCCGCAAGTATCGTCTTCGCCCGTGGAACAGACTGGGGCAACCTATGTCTCCCTGATGTCCGAGTCGCGTGGATAGCCCCACGCAGGCAGGTGCCCCCGCTGTTCTTCAGCTAGCGTCACCAGCGCACCGTTGTCAGTGATCATATGAGTGGGTACAGTTTACATGTTCCTCTCATGGAGTTGCCTCCAATAGTCCCCTTTCCTCCTGTAGTTCTGTGCACCGCATCCATAATCTGCGCCTCAAGGTCCGCTTCCGATTTCTCATGAATCGCATGAGGCCGTCCGCCCTCATGTGGGGGTTCGGCGTCTGGAGCTTCTCTGGCGTTGTTGCCTGGTGTCGGCGCGTCAGCCAATTCCTCATACTTCGTCATGTATTGGCCGGGGCCCGCTTGAGGTTTAGTGGACTTTAGGCATTGGATGGTCCTCGAATGTGCTGATCCGTTCATATCATGCACATCCAGGGCAACGCCTTCGGCTTCGAAGTAATGGAAGCCTGGATTCACGTCGGAATCGCAGCACGCCTACGCACAACTGTCAGCATAAGCCACCAGAGGTAGCTTGTGGATACCCCTGACTAACCCGACAGAGACTACGTTCTCGATGCGAAAGAAATTTCAGATAAGGTGTTGGTGGGCTAAGCGTACCTTCGGAGATAGTCGGCTCGCACTCGCCATCTGACGCGTTCCCATTTTTGGTCGGGATGCAGCAGCATGTCATAGCAGGTCGCCCCGCAGGTAGATGGCGATAAATGTTAACGCTGTCCGTAGCGCCCTGTTGTCTGAGCCAATCTCTCGGGCGATCAAAGCTTCGATGTATAATGAATGTCGTGCGTCGCCGTATCGGGCTTCTTCATCGCGGTTTCCCACTCGGATGATAACTTGGCCCCTGTCGGGGTCGTCCCGCACGGCCAGGGGAGGGCCGTTCCAGCCTCCCCAATAGTCCTTCGTGGTCATGGGACGATGATAGTCAACCAAATCTCCTTCATCATCGTAGTTCTGACCAGCGGTAGTCGTCCCGGTACGCAGTGTACGATTATATTTAGCTGCTGCAGTGGCTTGTGTGATAGCCTCCATGCATACCCG